TTAGCTCACTGACATTTACCTCCCCCCGCCCATCTCTCCTCTTTTCTGAAATTTGATTTGTCTTTTTTATAGGTGATCACTTTTTTTGATTGTATCCCTTGGCTACGTCTAGACTGGCATGATTTTCCACAAATGCTTTTAACAGAAGGCTGTGTCTAGACTGGCCAGTTTTTCCAGAAAATCAGCTGCTTTTCCAGAAAAACTTGCCAGCTGTCTACACTGGCAGCTTAAATTTAGGCAAAAGCACTGACGATCTCACGTACGATTGTCAGTGTTCTTGTGGAAATACTATGCTGCTCCAGTTCGGGCAAAAGTCCTTTTGCGCAAAACTTTTGAGCAAAAGGGCCAGTGTAGGTAGCTCAGATTTGTTTTCCGCAAAAAAGCCCCGATCGCAAAAATGGCGATCGGGGCTTTTTTGCGGAAAAGCACGTCTAGATTGGCACGGACGCTTTTCCGGAAAAAATGCTTTTGGGGAAAAGTGTCCGTGCCAATCTAGATGCTCTGTTCCAAAAATGCTTTTAACTGAAAACTTTTCCATTAAAAGCATTTCTGGAAAATCATGCTAGTCTAGACGTAGCTCCTCTTGTTAGCATTACATAGTTCTATTTTTTGTTTTAGCTAGACTAGACTAACACAAGTACTACTATTAAAAAGGTAGTACCTCATAAGGTACAACAACATTTTCAAATAGACACAGACATCACTACAAAACCTAATAGTTCAGTTCTGTTTTTTCACACTACTGAGTAGCTTCACCAGAGTGAAGCCTCAAAAAATTGAATACAAACTCATAAACATTCCTCTTCATGGAAATCTTTAGTAAAAGGCAAAAGATTTATACAATATGAAGAGAAACCAGAATTTACTGCAGCAGCTGCAGAGGTGCTGCCAGAAAAATGTCATCTGTTTCTCAACTCACGGTGGCTACACCGGACTGTCTGCAAATCCCCCCCCCTTCTGCAGCCTGTTGCTCTGCCACGCTGATAGCCCGAGTTTTGCGTGGGAGCCAGGGGCTTTAGGAGCAAACTCTGCCCCATGGACGCGGGTGGCGAATCACTGTGCGCAATGCATCGTGGGTATGTAAATGAGCACCCCTGGGTACACCCGAGTGCGAGGAGGAGCCCAGATCTCCGAGCTGCCACTGCATCCCCTAGCTCACTGCCGCGGGCCAGGCTGGGCAGCTGCTGCCGGTCCCACCGCTGTTCCAGGCGCAGGCCACGTGCTGGTTCCCCGTGGC